GTGGGGGGGCTATGAACATCAAAAAGAAAAATTGTTTGATAAAAAATTGATGAAAACTCAACTATCAAACGTTAATATTAAACTATCAAACCTCGCACAGTCGTGACAAATCATTTATAAAAAAAATCAGTAATTTTTGACAAAGTGGGGGGGGCTGAAAATACACATAAAAAAAGAATTGATGATAACTCTGGACCAAATCGCTATCAAACGATCTATCAGGACTATCAATCACTATCAAATGATTATCAAACGATTGACAGTGGAAAAAATCAAAAATTTTAATTTGGGGGGGTAAGTCTACAGAGGTGGTAAGTGCGAAACAAAATTTAGCGACTTCAAATATATTCTTCCTCTACACTTCTGAATATTTTTAAGGGCCGGTATTATAAAACACTGAACCGATGGTTGAGTTTCAACCTTCGGTTGACTCCATGCAAATTAATAGGATTCAACCGAAGGTTGAAACTCAACCATCGGTTCAGTGTTTTATAATACCGGCCCTAAGTGATCGTAATATGTTCACATATTATTTATACAAGCCATAACTATGAGTTAACGCCTAAACCACGTTTATTTACAGCTTAATTTTTAAAACTTACGATTTTTTGTTAAATCAGGCCCAGTGGACGCACTTACCCCGGAACATGGGGTAAGTGCGAATTTGAATATATCTTTATACCTAACACACATAGAGTGAAGCTAGGGGTAAGAGCGTTTTAGTCATTTTTTTTTGGATCAAAATGGTTTTTTTGAATCTAAAATATCTTTATTCTGAACAAAGTTACAAACTCAATAATTTCAAATGAATAAGACAGACTTAAGCAACAATAAACAAAAATTATTAGGTAGCTGTAACAACAGTATTAAATGATAACTTTAAACTTTAAGGTGATTCTAAACTTAGAATAAACGAGCTTAAAAGCTTTATTCTACCGTGCATCCGCTAAATGATAATTGGAATGATATTTCTCCTCGCCGATCAAATTCGGAATAGGCACCAACTTCATAATGTGTGTTTCGAACACGACGAAAATGTCGTCAACTAAGGGAAACTTAAAAATATGCCCCCTCTAAAAGAATGGGGTAAGTGCGGACTATTCGTAAATGCAAAAGGACGCACTTAGCCCTACTACATATTTTTAGGGGTAAGTGCGTCCACAGCTGTACTTATTATTTAGAAACATTTGGACCTTAAAAATATCAAGCAACCTTTACTTTATTGATATTTAATCCCACCTTCACCATAAAATTAAAATTATGGCATAAAATTTAAAAATTAGGGATTTTTCATAAAATACTCACCTACTCGCTCTCCAACTTCTAAAAGTACCGTATGGTTAGAACTGTGACAGCTGACTTATGGTGCGGCGCAATAATTCCAGATATTTTTTACGCCAAAAGTACTTTGTACACAGCACATTAACACAGTTTTGGAGCCAGCAAGCTGTATGATTCTTTTATTATATGAACCGGACGCTGTTACTCCAAATACGCACTTACCCCAACTGACCTTATAGAGATTGGGAGGTTCCAAATCATCATTTAAACACAAAATCTCAACATAAAGAAATTTCAAATTTCATCACGACTACTGAAGTAGCTAGCAGCTACGTTATGATTTGGATTTTTGAAAGCTTTGTAACATCATAACTTTTTTTCTATATTGTGGATAGAAAGCTGAAATTCTCAGCGATTCTTAATCTCGACATAAAAAAAAATTGAATGTTCATCATTTCAGTATTTAATGCATATGCATATGCATAATTACCCAAACTTCAGAGGGCACACGTTATACTATGGTTGCACTTATTGGCTCTGATCTACAGGGTGTCCGTTTTAAGTGATACCGCTATTGCTATCTCCAAAACGGTAAGAGATACGAGGTCGGTTAAATTAGAAAAAAGTTGCATTTTTTGATGCTTATTCAAGACTTGTTTACAGTGTTGCCAAATTCCTTTTAGTTTATGAAATACGGGGCGATTTCTAAAAAACGCCTAAAACTATTTCATCAATTATTTTGGAAACTATTGATTTTTCGGACACAATTTAAATTTGAAAGTTTTATAATTTTTATCGCTTCACAACATGGCATCTTCAAATTTCAAATCCGACGTTTCGTGATCGAGCTACCATCATCAACTTCATTTTTTTCAAATACGGACCTGAATTTTTAATGTCATTTTTAGAAAGCGCCCTTTATTCTTTTTTAACCGATATACCTCTTAAGTATGATCGACCGACGTTTCTGCTCAAAAAAGTGATCATCAGTGATTTTTACCAAAATTTTACCTTAATTAGGCCCTGGAATTCGTTATTTATAACAAAGACGGTCTAACAAGTACTTTTTTCCTTCATTATTTAGAACAAAATTAACAAAATAATTTCGCATGAACATAATAATAATAAATAATAAAATTCTCCGGTTATGAACAATAATTGAAATAATTACTTAGAAACTATGTAAGGTCAGTTGGGGTAAGTGCGTATTTGGGGTAACAGCGTCCGGTTCATATAATAAAAGAATCATACAGATTGCTGGCTCCAAAACTGAGTTAATGTGCTGTGAACAAAGTACTTTTAGCGTAAAAAAATATCTGGCATTATTGCGCCGCTCCATAAGTCAGCTGTCACAGTTCTAACCGAACTTTACTATTTGAAGTTGGAGAGCGAGTAGGTGAGTATTTTATGAAAAATCCCTAATTTTTAAATTTTATGCCATAATTGTAATTTTATGGTGTAGGTGGGATTAAATATCAATAAAGTAAAGGTTGATTGATATTTTTAAGGTCCAAATGTTTCTAAATAATAAGTAGGTAGGAACTGTGGACGCAGTTACCCCTAAAAATATGTAGTAGGGCTAAGTGCGTCCTTTTGCATTCACGAATAGTCCGCACTTACCCCATTCTTTTAGAGGGGAAATATTTTTAAGTTTCCCTTAGTTGACGACATTTTCGTCGTGTTCGAAACACACATTGTGAAGTTGGTGCCTATTCCGAAATTGATCAGCGAGGAGAAATATCATTCCAATTATCATTTAGCGAAACCACGGTAGAATAGAGTTTTTAAGCTCATTTATTCTAAGTTTAGAATCACCTTTAAAGTTTAAAGTTATCATTTAATACTGTTACAGCTACCTAATAATTTTTGTTTATTTGCGCTCAAGTGTGTCTCATTTATTTGAAATTATTGAGTTTCTAACTTTGTTCAGAATAAAGATATTTTAGATTCAAAAAAACCATTTTGATCTGAAAAATATGACTAAAACGCTCTTACCCCTAGTTTCACTCTATGTGTGTTAGGTACAAAGATATATTCAAATTCGCACTTACCCCATGTTCTGGGGTAAGTGCGTCCACTGGACCTAATTTTTAAATAAATAGTAAAGTTTAAAAATTAAGCTGTAAATAAACGTGGTCTAGGCTTTAACTCATAGTTATGGCTTGTATAAATAATATGTGAACATATTACGATCACCTAAAAATATTCAGAAGTGTAGAGGAAGAATATATTATTTGAAGTCGATACATTTTGTGTCGCATTTACCCCAACTGACCTTAATTACGTACATATTATTTTAATTTCACAAATTCAGGTTGGCATCACTGATATGGAATATAAATAAATTTCATCAAAAAATGCCTTAAAAAATTAAATTGACAGCTGTGAAACCTGTCAAACATTTCTTTATTATTTATTCATTTTATAATCATTGTTAAATGAATAAGAGCACAGTGATTTCCATTATGGAGTTTATAAAATTTATAAAAATATCAGTCTTAGATGAATTCAAAGAGAGGATAAGGCTGCATGTGCTAGAATAAATAATAGTTATTTGTATACCAAGGCCGCGTAATGCCGGGGCTGCTTGCGGCCGAGGCAAGAAAATCTCGAGAATGCTGAAAAGTTTCGTGGTCATGGTATACACACCACGTAAGGTGGCGGCCGTGAAATTGAATTTCGCAGACGGTTGCATGAAAAACAATATCAAATAATATTTAAAAAAAAAATGTGAAAAATTGCAGATGATGCTTAAGGATTAATGGACGTCAATTTGAGTACATATTTACAATAATAATTAGTTTCTAAGTCATTATTTTCAATATTGTTTATAATTAGATAATTCTGTGTTCTAAATAAAAAGAAAATAGTGTTAGACCGTCTTTGTTACAAATAACGAATTCCAGGGCCGAATTGAGGTGAAATTTTGGTAAAAATCACTGATGATCACCTTTTAAAGCAGAAACGTCGGCCAATCATACTTAAGAGGTATATCGTTGAAAAGGGAATAAAGCGAGCTTTCTAAAAATGACATAAAAAATCCAGGTCCGTATTTAAAAAAATTAAGTTGATGAGGGTAGCTCGATCACGAAAGGTCGGATTTGATATTTGACGATGCCATGTTGTAGAGCCATAAAAATTATAAAACTTTCAAATTTAAATTATGTCCCGAGAATCAATAGTTTTCAAAATAATTGATGAAATATTTTTAGGCGTTTCTTAGAAATCACCCTATATTTCATAAACTAAAAGTAATTTGGCAACACTGTGAACGATTCTTGAATGGGCATAAAAAAAGCAACTTTTTTCTAATTTAGCCGACCTCGTATCTCTTACCGTTTCGGAGATAGCAATAGTGGTATCACTCAAAACGTACACCCTGTATAAGCAATGAACAATAAAGTACCCAGTATCTTGTGGAACGCCAATATAAATTACTTTCTCTTTGCCGAATCCTATACATATAGGTACTATAACAAAACTGAAGGATGTTTGCTGAGCTAAAAGGGAGTTATGCAGGACATGTAGCTATATATGATGATGAAACATGTAAACCAACAACATTGTGAAATAAACTGTTTTTGAGCAAAATTACCGTCCTTTAATGAGATGGATGTTCGATAATGGAAAATCAGTTGAATAAATGTGAATTTGAAAAACGCAAAAGAAGTATAACTTACGCATAATAATGTGAGACACAAATTTCTTTATTCACTTACCTCACGCCACTTAAATCAAACAGTCTAATGTGACGGTTGTCGTGTGGAATGGCAATCAACCCATTAGCAGACACAGACACTCTATTGACAGCAGAGTCCACTCGAATTGTAGCCACTGGCGATCTCATATTTCTCAAATCCCAAACTTTAACACTACGGTCATCGGAACTGGACACAACCTTATCTTCTCGGGTAAAAACTGCCGAAGTAACGCTCCTGATTAAAAAATAGAATAATTATAATTTTGAACGTTTACGTAGTGATTATCAACTTACTCTGCATGTCCTTGGAAAACAGAAACTGCATGAACGGTTTCCCTAAAATCCCAAAGCCTGAAAGTTGTATCTCTGGACGATGTGACTGCTAGCTTCTGAGTTGGATGGCTAGCAGTGTGAGTCAGCTCCTGATCATGACCTGAAAAAATATAACTTAAAGTTAGGACGTATATTATAATAAACGTTTAATCTAAAATGAGAGCTGTAATATCAATGGTTGTTTCACCACAAACACATTTACATTATTTCATTTCGTTAATCTATTTGCTTTGGTAATATATGAGGTAAATCGTAAAACAATAGTTCATATTTGCAAAAAAATTGATCATCATTTAATAGCACGACAGGTCTGCGACAGAGATAGATACATGTTCACGGTAGTAGGTGAAATTGAGATGGGACATAATGAAGCAGTGAGGAAGCATAAACCGAAAGCCAACGGGCGCGAGTTTATTACTCGAAAAATATGGTTCATGCTTCGATATGATCTACACCCATTTTAGAAACTTATAAAGAATAACTTTTTCCGTTTGGAAACCTTGTGTAGCTAATATCGTGGTGTAAATATAAAAAGTACATTTTCCGCATTTTTTTCCTAATAGGCCAGTGCAGTTATGAAATTCACAATGTTGAAAATCCAAACTTTTTTATAAAGCTGCGACTATCAACAATAAGTAGTCCTAGTACCCCTTATTAACATACTAAAAGTCCCCATGCTTCCGTCTGTTGCGTCACCAAAAAAAGTCGTCCGCCATCTTGAATTTCAGCACTGTTTGGGAAAAAACGCGAATAACTCGAAAACGGTACATTTTTTTGAAAAAAATGAAGACATGAAAATTGAAGAGAATTAAAAAATCTATCAGATACAATGAGAAGTAATTTTGTATCATAGCGATCTATCAACTTATGAATTTTCAATTCTGTTAATTATTCGGTTTTGATAATTTAATTATTTAAAGCGCGAAAATCGCAGAACAAAACAAAATGTTTGATGAATGATGATTTAGATCAGTTGAGATATTATAAATACAAAACCCTTACATCTCGTCAAGTTCTTAGCAAGAATTTTGAGTTAGCTACTTTGCCTCCAACTTCAGACGGAGCTGATGAGAATCATTACTATAGGACTTACTTACAAATTCAATATAGGCTTAATAATAAAAAAGAACCAACACATTGGGGTTGGGATGAAAAAAAAGACATGTTGGTTCCAAAAACTATGTCAAAGGCAGTGGCACCTGATTTTGTTCTGAATATGATATATTGCAACTGCAAGTCAGGATCTAACAAATTATGCACATGTATAAAGTCGAATATTCCGTGTTCAATCCTATGTGGTAATTGTAATGGCATTTCTTGTGACAACAAACAAATTTCCGTAGATGAAGAGCAATTCGAATAAGATGGAATAAATCGTATCCCAGTTTTATATTGTAGTCACTGTTGAATGGTAACAGAAAGGCCTTGGTTCACTCTCATGATGTTATTTGGTATTAGAAAGTTAATTGTCACTTATAATTAATTACACTAGAGCCTTTTTTTGTCAAAGTAAACTTGATATTTCAATGAGAATTTTGTTGCCTGGCAATTTGAGTTAAATTGCCTAAATACAACAAAACTCGAATTATAAAGTAAAATTTCCTTTTCGACAAAAAAAAGCTTGAGTGTAATTCGGTAAGACAATTTAATGGATACCTACGTAAATGACAAATTTTGCTGGTCATGTCAAGCTAGGTTCAGTTTTGTCGCTGGAAAAGTTAGGGCAAATTTTTTTCATATATAATATCACAAGAGAAAAAAAACTGTCGGCAAAATTTTCGAAAGGTATGAAAGTTTAATGCTTGGCAATTTCGCGAGCCGTCAGGCGAGTGATTTTATCAAAAATGTCACGAGCGAAATTGCAGAAAAGCAACAAACTTGAATAAAACCTTGAGAACAATTGACGTGTCTCGCAGAAATAGAAAAAGTGAGCTTAATGGGCTCTTTCACTAATTGTTGAAATTGGCATATTTGGATAAAGCAACTAAAAACAGAATTTTCTGTATTTTTACTTTTGAAAAATTCATAGTCCTTCTTGAGAAAACAGAAAAAAAAGAAATACCTCCAAATAAAAACCCAGAATTTATTTCTATGACGTCGCAGCTCGCAATTTGACCGTGTTGCCACTAATTGTCAACATTGAAAATTTGTAATAGATTTAATTCTGAAATGTTCGCAAAATATCATGAAAAGTAGTTAAATTAATTAGTTATGGATTCAAGATTTTATAACATTTTTATTGAAATTATGCTTAAACACAATTTAATATAATTTTTTATGTTTAGTTTTATTTATTTATTTTACGTTGCACTACATTTAGTCACCACCGACAACAGCGCATTCGAAGCTTTACCTGCATTTACTACAGGGTAAATACAGCCGAGGCGGTCAGCTCGTTGCAACAACAAGCGAAATGAAAAATATTTATGCGACGTCAGCAAATCGGCGCGTTTTTAATTAATTTGAATTTTGCTAATTTAAAATGCCTGTAAAAAACTTATTTAACCTTGTAGAACATTAGAACATTTTTTTTTGGTATATATGCTTAAAATAGTCCCTCCTTTGGGATTTTATACTTAAATTACGTATTTAAATTTTAGTGAAAGAGCCCATTGTAATAAATACTAGTTAGAAAGTAATAAAAAATGACATGCGCGCGCAACCCGTGGCTGCAGTGTAGCCAGATTGTATTGTTGCAGAACAAATGTAGACAATACAAATCGAACATTATAACATTAAAGAAGTGATATATTGTCAAGTGTTTTACAACGCCTTAAATCAGACAACAGAAGAGCTTTAAAGTGTATGTTAACATCTATGGCACTTTTATTTTGATGAATGTTTCATCCGGCAACATCGCACAATGAAATTGCAAAGGAATATGTCAAGTATAATCTAACATAACCTTAAACGACACTGCGATAAGTTCAAGTAATACGTAAAGTATTAGTTTGCTCTTTGTCGAATTACACGTTACAAAGAAAGAAGGAACGATTAAATCTGAACTCGTCCCTGAATACGAATATGACGCAAGCACGTAACAAACTCGATTTTCATTGGACGCTCACCTGCAACCCACGAGTTGCGCGCGCACACCAGGTATTACGAGACACGTCAATAGACCTATCTATTTTACCAGACAAAGAGGTAATAATACGAAAACTTCATTAGATAAAAAAAGACACAGAACGCTCATTGCGCAAGACGAGGCAAAACGTACCAAATTATGTTAGACTTACGTATAGCAATCCGTCCTTCTTATTTGCACAGGATAAAAAGGAAAGGAGAAAAACCGCGTGTTGTGCAACGTATTTGTCAATGAAAATGTCAAACAACTTTTGAATGACACTTGTCAAATTGAATATCAACTTTAGATTTATTCTTGTCAGACTACGTGCAATGAACAAGGATAAAGAGATGCCCAGCGTGCAAAACGATCACCTCACACCTGTATTAGCTGGCCAATAAAAAGACATTGCCTCGTGTTGCGCGCGCATGCCAGGTAAAAATAGATAGGTCTATTTTGCCTACACAATTTTTTCTCGAGTGGTTTCGGTCATGACTATTTCACGTAAGATTTTGAAAATAAATAGAATGCAAAAAAAAGAATAAAAACTTCAAATTAAAAATATTAGTTTGACAATGTCAAAAAATGGTCTCTGAAATACCATGTTGTTGGTATTGTCCAGGTAGCAATATTGTCAGGTGAATACCGAATTTATTGTCGAATGTGATACCACAAGAGGTTTCAGGATTACCGGATAATACTTTTACCTGTCACGGAACGCGTTACGCAACAACACTACGACTCCGAAGGAGGAGTGGTGTTGCTGGTAACACGTTGAGTGTCGGGTAAAAGTATTAGGTAATCCTGAAACTTCGAGTGGTATTCAAAAGGTTATGCAACGAACTAAACTTTGATACTTTATTATTGTTCATTATTATTAATAGTAAATGAACAATATAGCCACCAAGCGCGATAATCCCACAAGGCTTATCACTTCTAAAGCCTCTCGTGTCATATGGGAATAATGTACAATGAGTTGTATAACCGGTGTAATACACTCTAGTGAAATAGTCGCTGTAATAATGACAAACACACCAGTCCTTATGGGATTTTTTGTGTATGAATTAAATTGTCAATTTAAATTTACTTATTACCTATCGTGTCTTTTGGCCAAAACATTGTAAAATTGACCTTGTCAATTTTTTTGCGTTAAATAGTACTATTGTATTGAATCTGCGATTACTTAGTATTAGTTCATAAAGTCTGTTTTTTTTTTGAAGATAATTCCCCAAGTCAGAAATTTAGTAACTATGTTGGCAACACAAGCCTTTTCTACATAAAAAATTTGAAAGCTTGTCAATTTTACATTGTATTGCCAACATAATGTCATTTTGACTTTTATCTTTAAAAAAAAAAAATACACACTTTACGAGGGTAGTTGAATTAAATTAATATATAGGTAACACTTTTACAGTGTTTTTTTATTTAAATAAATGTTAAAAGGTAATTTTATTTGTTTATTGGGATTGAAAAAATGCAGTAACTGCATTATGGACTGCTTCCCTTGATTTTGCTTAATTTCCAAAAATTCAAAAAATTTTAGATTGTTACTACGTTATGGTACGCATTCAGTTTTTATGATACCTCCTTCATTTTTTCATTCTATTCAATTTTCCTCTCTTGAGTTTTTTCGATAGAATGTACCGTTTTTGACTTATTCACGATTTTTTCCGAAAAGTGCCGAAATTCAAGATGGCGGATTGTTTTTTCTAATGACGCAACAACCGGACGAATGGGGACTTTTGGTATGTTTACTAGGAGTACTAACGCTAACTATTTTTGATAGTTGAAGCTTTATAAAAATTTTTGCAAATTCAAAATTATTTGCATTGGCCTATAAGATAAAACCAAGAAAATCCCGTTTTCAGTATTTTCAGGCCGTAAGCCTCAATGCTTTTTAAAATATTTGAAATATATCTTCAAGTAACTTGTAAAGGGTATTAACTTCGCTTTTAGAATCTCTAAAATATTATTTCTAAAGGCTCGTTTCCACTGAAAAGTTGACAACTTCTATGTTGGCAACTCTTCCGAAA